ATTATTTCTCTAGATTTTTTAGACACACGAAATGAACACAAATTAAAATTGTAAGCAAAACAAAACAAAGAATCTATTAAAGCAGTAATAATAATTTTTAAAATCCAAATACTTTTTCTAACTTTAAAAGCTATTGTTCGTATCTGGTGAAAGTGTTTTTCCACCCTAGAAATATCTGTGGAAATATTCGCCACAAATAAGCTTTTAAATGATCTCTAGTATTTCCACGGGTACGTCCAAAATGTCACGTTATTTTTCTCTTACTCCAGGTGAATTCTCCATGTTTGAAACTGTAACGCACTTTCTCATTTTTTGTTCTTGTTGTTACTTCATTATATTGTATTACTTGGAAGTTTCTTTATAAATACTTGAGAAATTCGTTAACTTATATGTAATTAATCTTAAAAGTTTGCATTTCTCAAAAACATCTCTATCAAAACCTGGATTCTCACAAATTTAATATCAAAGATTTGCTAAAATAGTTACCCAAATGCTTACAAAATATCTCAGTTTAATTACTAGACTTTTGATTTATTAAACTATTTTATTTGACATTATAGGCACCATTTAAAAATAAATTAGGTATTTAATTTGCAACACTGTATCTGGTTTTACCTTTTTACCTCTGCTTTACACTATTTTTTATTGTTTCATCTGAAACTTTTTTCCCTTCATTTTTTCATGTTTTATTAGGCTATTATATACATCAACATATAATTTTTTTAAGTTAAATATGTGGCTACACTAAACAAATAGTATATGTGGATATACTGCTTCTTTAATACTTTTGTTCTATACTGTGCATTATTTTCTTATTTTTTTTTTGTTTTAAATGACATCTCTCAGTTTTGTCACCTATTCAATAAATAAGAAACAATATTGTCAAAGTTGAAAACATTTTAAATAAATAAAATCCAAAGGCATTACCACATTGTTCTAAAGAAGCTTTTTGTGCATCTTAGTTTATGAGAAATGAAGAATATAAGCAAGGTCTTATGCAAGCTTGAAATGTGAGAGAAGTATTACTTTCCAGATACTCTTCCCGATCAGAGTAGAAATGTAAGAATACAGAAAAACAAGTCATTGGGAATCGTTACTATTCGGAAATTGAAATTATTCACCCCCATTAGGTTTTATTTTGGAGGTGTGGCTGTGATGATTTTTTTTTTTTTTTTTTTAACTTTACTTGCCTCGCCTCAGTGGAGTGATTCTTCAGTCTCAGGGAGGAATGTCATTGTAGTTCTTAAAACTTCTAAAATTCTGAAAACCATTTAACATGTGGCTAACAAGTTATCTTTGTGTCTCAGGAGATAGACATATATCTTTTATTCCTATTTTGTAAGGCAAGAAACTGACACACCCATTCAGAAGGAAAACAATGTGAAAGAGGTCTAGGTGAATTTAGAAACTGATGCTACTACCCCGATTATTTTTGGATCAGCCAGCCCAGCCCTAAGCTAATGGCACCTCCACTTTCCAGTGGGTCTCTTGCCATTTAAGGCTCTCTCAGTCCGGGGAAATGAAGGAACTTTTCTTTCTGCTTAAGAAGAGACAGTGCTGGTAGTGCTTTCCCATTCCTGAAAATAGGAAATCATCTTCATCTTTTCTCACTTAATCTCGAACGAAAGGAGTGGAGTGTACTATCTAGGAGCATTCATCTCCC